GTCCTCATCATTGCGGACCGGTGGGGTGTGGCAGTGCGGCTGCGTTTGGTGCGGCTCGGCAAAACCGTTCTGCACCAGTTTCTGAAGAGGGCAAGTGCATTACTATATTATTCCTCCGTATTACTCGTTTTCTACCACTTTTTGTCGCATACGCGTTGCAACAAAAAAGGCTGAGAACTGCTCCAACAATGTGCGCGCTCCTTCTGGCTGACACTCCCCACCGGTCTGCAATGATGAGGACTGTATATGAAAAATTAAGAGAAACTCAGCAGCCGGGGAAAAAATCCTGCGGCTAGGGAAAGATGCATCTCAAAGCAGTTACGACCCTCCCAGGGATATCACAGCTCTCTAGCCCCATTCTCGTACACTTTCAAGCGGAATGAATGGCACGCTTCTGCAGTTGCGGGCCAATCCACTAATAGAAGGGACCGTCTTTGCAGGAAAGACTTTGAAGGATTTTCTCAAAGGATTGGTGGTGTAGGATGGTATTTTCGCGAAACTCTCGAAAAAAGAGAGTCCATAAAGACAGTTCCCGCGACCGAGGTATCCGCAAAATGCATTAAGTCGGATTTAAAGGCAGTTGGCACGATGGTTTCCCACTCGGCCCAAAATGCTTGTAGGGCGCTATGTAGTGGGGAAATGGCGAAAGAACGGAGTGAAACGGTCAAAATCCGGCAAAGAAAAAGGCACCGTTCTCAGTGACTTGAAAATCGATTTCGGACGAGTTTCCCGCAAGCATCCTGCCAATAACCGCTACCGAAGATATGGCCGCAATACGAGCGTCAGAAAGAGTCGTCCGTTTGTGGGCTGGCGGGCGAGGAAGGCGTTTGGGACGAATATTGTTGCTCGATAGGGCGTTACCGGGGTACCCTCCTTGGAAAAGGCCCCACGGAGCGCCTGTCCGAGGGCACGGAATTCTGTTAAGCCAGTCGTATAAATCCTACGTCAGTGTAGCGATTTATCGTGCCAATTATCTTTAAACAGAAAGTAGCACTTGCACTACTCGAAAGATCTGGATGGAGCGGCCACAGACGCAAAACCCTTGTGAACTGTGTTCTTTTTAGTCTGCAATATAATAACTTACACAATGAATTACGCTCATGCATTCAGTTGTCTGTGGCGTCGCGGAGCGATTTAATGCTTGCCGGAGAAAAACTTAGCTTTTTAGCTCTTTTGCGAGCTCATGAAACGTTCTGCTACCCCAGGATACTTTTAACGAAAACAAGCAAGCAATAGCAGTCTGCTTCTCAGGTCTCGGCGCTGTTCAGATACAGCAGCATTGGTGCAAAAGTTTGTCATTATCTTCTGTAATCCTAATTTTATGCACAGACTTTCCGAGAGCTATTTGCTGCTCCAGTGCTGTTTTTCATTTTTTTTGGGATTAGATGGAATCTAACTCTGGAGGATGCGAAGAAACGAGTTGTGAGCCAGGAGTGGCACACAAGCAGGAGGTGGACGAGTTCCCGGCAAGTCCGGTGAACTCGCACATTTAGGATGTATGACTTCCAGAGAGGGGGTTTGTTTAGGGTGCTTCCTAACGTTTTTTCCTTTTTCCTCCACTGGGAGTCACTTGGCAGCTTTTGGTTCATAATCAAGCATCAAGTACCGGTACGCCTCAGTCTCAGTACTAAGTCCAGAACCCGAACCGCAGGACTCAGCACCCTCGGTGAGACTCACCGCGTAGGTCAAAAGCCGCAGATGTGCCTGAACGTTGTCAGCTTTCGTAATCACTACTCACTCTTTTTTTCTCCTGATCTCAGGCTCTCTTGCCGAATCAACAGTGCTCGTAGCGCTCCGAGCGTCGGCAGCGTTAGCGACAAGGAAAGTATAGTTATCAATCTAGCGCCTGCCAGCGTCTACCAGCGACCAGCAACGTAAGGGAGTGGAGAGTATGGTGCGATACAAGGGTAGCAGGCAGCTGCTAGAGTGGGAGTTAGGAAGGTACCAGCTGTCTGCTATCCCTATCTCCCCATACTCTACCACCTGTCTGCTACCCTCTTATCGCGCAACACTCTCTACCAGCAGTCTGATACCCTCCTATCGCGCCATACTCTCCTCTCCAGGGCGCCGGTGGACGCTGGCAGATGCTGAATCAATACCTATTTCCCTAGCCCTCGAAACGCTGCCGGTTGCTGGTAGACGCTGGCAGACACTTTATCGATATCTATACTTTCCTAGTCGTCTGATGCTGCCGGACGCTCGGAACGATGGTGGACGCTATTGTTCGCTGGTGGACGCTGCCGCAAAGTATGAACGCAGCCTATGGGTTCGTGATCGTGCTGCTAACAATGAGGTGAAGTCTGAGGGTTGTCTCAAGATCTGCTACACTCAGCAGCAGTGGTGTCCACGGCGACACGATTCCTTTACTATTTTCATTCACAGTTGGAGAACGAATTAGCACCACTTTTTAATTACAGGACAATCCGCCAAAAACGACAGTTCTCGCTGGAAGCCTTCACCGGCAAGTATATATTCCCTCAAAGTAAATGGGATGAATATAATAAATATCATAATGTAGTAGACGAAATGTTATTAAATCTTTTCGGATAAGGTACCTGATGATATGAGAAAATATTTTTTGAACATGTTATTATCATTGCGAATGTTACGGCACGCAGCGGTATCCTTATCAAATGAATGTGTCAAGCATTTCTTTGATCAAAAAAAAAGACTGGAAAGGCATTAAGATTCTAGAAAGAGGTGGTACACAGTAGATCACTTTCAGTTGAAAAAGAAAACATTTCTGTGGATGATATGGAAATTTACTGGGACTATTCATTCTGGTCGTATAAGCGAAGCTGGACTGATTGAATACCTACACATACACCACCTTTCCACTGTCTTGGAAGATATGGGCGCACCAAACAGGAAGGCGCGAGCGTGGGTCTGACCACGCCCACGACTAGGGTACATCGCGAGAGACTTCCAAGAAAAGGATCAAACTTTGCACAAAGGTAAACTGAAAAAGAATAACTTCCAAATAGGCCGGTTTCTCTTTATCGGCAACATTTTCGCGAAAACAGGCAATGAGTCGCCAAGAATGCTCAAGCGCGTCCTACCGAAAGGAAGTCTGTTTGCAGGCATGTTTGAACACAGAGTTACCGGAGTCGGCCCAGTCATGGCCTGGCCGGCAGTTTTGGTGCGGTTTGAAGAGCAAATTCCAGCGGATCATTCACCATGGTACGTGAATCAGAAAGTTGCATATAGACGAACAAGGTGATGAGTAAAGTCGATAGTGAGGAAGAGCAGCCAGGAAAAAAAAAATGCCAGACTGTCCCAAATAAACCGCACATTCTTGATCCCACCTTTGTACTCATGCCTGCAATTAACTCCATCTCCAACCCTTATCCCGCACAGCTGATCGCCCCCCACCCCCCCCCCCACAGGAGCTCTACGTTTGGTACAATGACAATTTAAAGCATTTCGTAGTGAGCTACGTTTTTTGCACTGAATGGCGGGCCTTGAAGGCCGGAGTTCTGAGAGGTGAAGGCACTTGGGAGAAAGAAGGCATCAACTGGAACTGTGTTGCGTTATTAGCGCCCCTCCTTACAACTTTTCGCCGCAAAACCGGAACAAGGTTGTTCGGCGGCGGACCACACTACCTTGCGAACGCCATATTTTCAACTTCTATGTCGTCGACGAGGACTTTAAGATACTCAGAATCAGGAGCTTTCATAGTAGCTCTCAACCTCCTGATAAATCACAGCGAACCCTTCATAAGCCCGTTCGCACGCAGAAGTCGACCGGTTAACATAGCGTAGCACAACTGCCCTTAGGACAGCTTTTGAAGAGAAATGCGCGTCTCGTTCTTCCGCTTCATCATTTCGCAAAACTGCACTTCTATCCTCCGCACAGTCCGTACGAAATACAGATTGACTATCGCGCACGCAAATTAGCCAGTGAGGTTGGGTCGGTAGTCAGGTAATTAAACCTACCATCTGCGAGTTTTCTTCCACTGGGTTTTAAACTTTCCTGGAATTGATCACTATTGGCAGAAGCGTCAATAGTGACCCCCATTCCACACCTTCTGGCACGCGGCTCTTCGCGGTGAACTTTCAGGCGCACGGACTGTCGGCAGCTAGCAAACGCCACACCATGTGATACGCGTCTATTGAAACTAAGAATTTGGCACATAGTTACCTGTGGCTCGTGCGCGTCTTGACGTGGAAAATTGGACACAGGCGCACTGTTAAACAGATTCCGAATGTTCACAAACGAGACGAGTACGTGCCTCAAGAACTGCTGCGTAAATGAACGTGTCGTCCGTGACTGCACATTAACGGGCGTTGTACGACCGGTTCAGTCACCCAAATTTATGTGCCCTTGTTATACGCCTTTTGGCATACTCGGGTTGGATGAGCACTTCTTCAGAAAGCTGACTGCGGATTTCACGGGACGCCTTCGCGCTCATGGGGAGCACCAGATGTGTTGGCCAGGATTTGACGAGCAACGCCTTAATTTCCGCTCTATACAGAGCTTCCTAGGCCACCGCACTGTTTTGCTAACGTCTTTGGAAGGGAAAGAGAAGAAGCAGGAAAGGAGAGCCGCGTTAAGAAAAAGAAGAAAGGAAAAGTAAAAGGAGGAGAAAGGGATGCGTAAGCGGAAGGACTAATGTTTTGAGGATCCGCCACGGGTGCTGATGCGCTCGGAGCCTCTCACTGAAGTGAACAATTGACCTTTTGGCTGATTCCCCAAAAATTCGTGGTCCACTTGTACGTCTCCAAATGGGAGCCACAGGCTGATGAGATCAGATCATGTGCAACCACACAATAAATATAATTTCTTTATTAAAGTATCTTGTGTAACAACGATAGCATAATATGTAATACACTCGCCAGTAGAAACTCATTCACTATTGCTTTGATCAACTCACCGCTTGCAAAACCATTCACATGTTTAAGGCAACTACAGTTATACATCATAATACATTATAAGCTTTGTTGAGCGGGTTACTGAAATTCTACTTGAAAATTTCTAACTACTTATTTCAATCGATTTAATTAATGCACGATTTTCGTTGACAATGAAGGGTTACGTCCACCGAGTCGAGTTGATGGCTTGAGACTCTGCAATTTTCAGGGAGTTTGAGTATCAAATGTAAATAAATGAAGTAGATCAGACTGGGTCATGAGTGCCAGATTTGCCGCATTTACAGCGGACAGCGATTTGAAGTGTCGTTAGCTCCGGCTTCTATTTCCATAAAAGTACTTGCTCTTACATAACTGTATAGCAGTTGCAATGATTGACACGCAATGTGACCGCACGCGTCTGATATTGTACTTGGAATGACTGACACGCGATGCATCCGCACGCGGCTGAATCCGGCATACTCCGAAAGCGTCTACGAGCGAACGACAAGAAGCCAAAGAATGACAACAAAGGGTATCAGAGGAGAGAATTACCAACCTCGCTTGTTCGGAACTCGTAGGTACGGTTTGACGAGGGAGTTCCTACAACCATCTCGACAATAGTATCGCGACTCCCGGTTACAGCGGAGACTATCTTCAAGAAGTAATCATTACTTTTTGCGTCTTTATACTTTTGGCAAGATGCCAACAGTCTCACATAAATGTGAGTGGTTAGCTAGTAATGTTATACAGTTGACGACACAGCTCACTGTAACGGGGAGGCGGAGAAAGGGTACGGGCTCGGATCCATTATGGTTTTCTCATTGGTGCAGCTCTCCTCTTCAGCGTATCAGAAGTTCCGCACCAATAAGGAAATCGCAATAGATAGGTGTCCGCCCGACCGTCCACCCTTCCAATTTTTGTGGATGTTGTTGAATATAATAAAATACCTTATCATAGGGCCATTGTTCCATTACGTCACGACTTCGAGGCTCAAGGAGTTTTACACCTGTCTTGCCCACCGCCAGCTCTACCGGTGGAAGAGCTCGTCCGTCGAGTGATGCAGCGTCTAGCCGGAATATTGTACTGCCAAAGAGTGGCCAAGTGGACAGTATCTCTGCAACGAGTAATCAACAACATAGTAGTAGATAACCTGGACATTCAGAGTTTTCAAGATTTTTCCACGAAAGATTGAGTATTGGGTGAGGCCAGCGAAGGGGTTAACTAGGGCCATATAGTCACTATCGCGAAAGGGATTCGAAGGGGCGCTGATTGGAGCGCGGCCAAGGCCTTTCTCACCAATGAGTGCAAGCTCAGGACGCTGTTGATTGGTGGAAATGGTGCTAGCAAGGCTTCACTCCAACCCACGCCCCTCACATGTCTTTTAGTTTGCAGGGTTACTGTCTATTGCTTGGTGAGGGTACAGCATCGTTATGAAATATTAGTGT